TAGACGTTTGATATGAAAGAAGGAGCAAACCTAGAAAAACTTTTCCATTCTTATTACACTGGGCTACAAATGATTTTAAAAATTTTCATGGTTCCAGATTCAATTGTGCCATTTTATATGCCTTTTTGTGTGCTGGACACGAAAATGGTCGAGAGGTTTTCACGTTTTGATCTAGTTTTTAAGTTATTTGGGGTTTTCACGATTTGCAAAGAATTAAGAAGGACTCAAAAATAGCACCTGCTCCATACTTATATGACTCATTGTTTCTCTGCTTGCCTTTTGTATTCAATTTCTAGTTCATCTATTGTAATTGAGCAACAGTAGTCTGCTAACAAAAGTTTGGCATCGAAGTGAAATCAGGCGTTCGTCAAAATAATGATGTTGAAGAAAATAGCATTTCTCCGCCCGTTGGGAAATTCTAAAAAAATTGTTTTGGGCTCAATATTGTGTATGTCTATTTAAAAATAGATCGAGCAAAAGGGGGGCTCTCGTGGCCTAGAGGTTAAGGTGTTGGCCTCTCATTCAAAAGGTCCCGGGTTCGAATCCGGGTAGCGACCGAAAAATTTTCTTCTCTAAATTTGTCTCCTTTCACCTCATTTCCTGCTCTCTAGCAATGTTCTGTCGTCTGCTTTCGTCTCCTCTTTCTGCCCCCACCCCTCACCTCCTTTGCACCTTCCTCTGGGTTCCTGATTCTTTCTGCAGCCTTTCTACTGCTACTCCTTCGCTTCTTCTTACTGCTGTCTTTCAGCCACACCCCTGATCTTCTGGTAGGAAAGATCTACACCTAGCCTTTTCGGACAAGGGCGAAAAATCTCGGTGGGCCCGTGTGCACGTTGTGCACGTTAAAGATCCCTTGGTGGTCTAAAATCGATAAGAAGAGTAGGCTTCGGCCGCCACCCGGGGAAAATTCAAAATTTCCTACCAACTGAAAATATTAGGTGTGTCCCGCGCGCTCATATAACCTTATGCAGTTGCGAGCGCCGTAAAACACTTTACAAAAACAAACAAAAATCGAGCAAAAGAATAAAAAAGTAAAATAAACTGCAGTTTCCAAAGACTCTCAAGCTCTGGAATTCACCGAACTTTGGCTGCCATTTTTTTTGCTAATTTTACTTCAGCTACCAGGCGACCCCCCACCTCCTGTTGATTTCTATTCAAATCAGGTGGGTATTTTTTCACCTTAAGCAATACAAATAAACAAGTTTTACGTAGAAACCAAGAACATCAAATTTTTTTTTTAAGCAGCAACTGACGAGCACCTGATTCCACCACGTTGTGATACATATTTTGACTCCATTTGCTCCGATGTAGCTTTCCCATGGCTGCAATGTCATGGTGTAAAACACTCACCATGTCTATCGCTAACAGCAAAATGTGGGGCAGCGTGGTGGAATCAGGCTCTCGTCAATTTTTAGACATGTAGAGCTATTGGTATCATCTTAAAGCTTGTTCACTTGTCTTTATTTGGATGAAAAAAATATCCATTAATGTTTAATGCAAGTCGAAATATTTGCAAAAGAAGGAGGTGGGGGTCACCTGTTTTCGAGGGTAAAATTAGTGAGACAATGGCCCCCAAAGATTAGTTATTTCCTTAGCTTAACAGTCCGTGGTAACTGAAAATTTACATTTTATGTGCCTTTAATCAACGTTTTCCAGAAAAATCCAGACAGCAATTAGTTCTTTAATGGGCATGAAAGGTGTTGAGCCGAAAAACAAAAATTTGATAAAAATTCACAGACCTGCGTAAAAATGCAAGTTTCTTCATTTTGATTATTTTGACGAGAGCCTGATTCCACCGCGCTGCCTCACAAATATTCACAAGCCCAAAAAACATCGTCGCAGGCGATCAGGTTGCCCTTCATTGTACAAATGGTTGAAAATCTTACTCTCAATTTTTCAATACGCTCACTCTCAAACCAACAGCAAGAGAGCTCCATTGCTCGACAACTCAGCGTTGTATTTTAGCAGGTCTGAGAAGGTCGTTCATTTCATCTTAATTAATCATATCATGGGATGTGCTAGCAAAAAAAGCTTTAAACTAACGCCCTATCCCCGGCAAGTCGCTCCCAGGAGCTCGCGCCAGGCACATAATGTATTTATGACAAATTCGAACATTTTATTAATGTTCGCCAATTGCCAAAAAGAGGTATCTTTTACAGGAAGTTCTTTAACTAAACATAGAGCTATCAACATAGGTTCATTTGTTTTGAGTGGACGACCAATTTAGTGATCTGTTTGGTCATTTTTAGATTTCGTAACGAACGAGGACCCCGGCATAGTGGGTTTACCCCCCCCCCCCCCTCCCCCTCCTGGGATAAAGAGTTAAGTGAAAACCAGGGCAATTTTTATGTTGAAGCTTCAGTCTGTTCTTTAGTGACATTTTTGCCCATCCCTACCCCCAGCCCCCACCCCACCCCCACCCTTCTTTCAATTCAGAAAGTGTCTGTAGTGTTACAGGAATTAGCAAACTTTCTCTCTTTAGTACATGTACTTTTCTGTTGTGATTTCCCTTAAAGACACACACTGCTTCTTTTAGCACCAAAATCTACATACAAGTCTTGTTTTTTTTTTTCATTTTATCAAAGTATTCTATTCAAGGATAAAAAATATTCGGTTTTTGGAATCATTATCATTTACATGGTCATAGATATGACAAACTAGAGCTTGATACACAAAACAGAAGTAGCAGTCATCTGATTG